TCACCTCTACGAATGAGTTTCTGACCAGCAAATGATTGTACATCTTAAAAGTAGATAGAATATTAAAGTTTACAAATGATTGCAATAAAAGATAATTATTTAAACAAAATAAACTTACTATAAGGTGCATACTGAAACAAATGTATATTCTTATCCATATCTGCCACAGCGAAATATAATACAGGCTCATCGATTATGAAATCAGTGCAACCAACTTCCATAGAATGATAGTCTTTACCAACCAATACTAGTTTCGCCGGTTCCTCCTTTGAGTGCGATTATATGTCAATACATGTAAAGTATATTGGGAATGACTCAGAGTGTTATAATTCAGTAAAGCCTTGCCTGAAATCCAAGGAACCAAACACCCTTGTAGACGTCTCCTAAAAGTATATAATCTTTAATCGATACTACACTACTAGCATAAATTTGTATATCTATGAACGCAACGCTAATAAGACGATCATTGTCTTCAAATGCACGAATAAAAATCTAATACAAAAAAAAAAAAAAATTACTATTTATGCATAACTTGCGAAATATATATATATTTTTACCTTTGGTCCGACACACGTTAACAAGTATCCATTGACATCACAAATTGCAGTAACAGAACCTTTCACTTCTTCATGACATAGTAATTTAAATTTGTGATTTGTTTGTGGATTATCAGGTTCTGGCACGACCTCAATTATTTCAAATACGTAAACCTTTAAAAATTAATGATTGATTAAGAACATTGAAAGTGATCCGATTTGATCAAAGAATAATGGCTTACATTTCCTCGCATGCCAATGTCTTCTCCGCGGAAAATTCCGGTACCGATGGCAATAAATGATTTTCGACCACTAGTAGTAGATTTTGTTTGAAGACTCACGCATTTTATACATAGGCCTTGTTCATCATCATGGAAGTCGTGCCTGCATGATGTGTTCAACTTTATGAACCAATTAATAATATATAAATAGTTATCAAATGTTATAAATTCTAATCAAACCTGTCTACAGTTTCCCAAGTGACAGGAGATATCAATTCAAGAGTAAATCTTTGGGTTTCAGGTAAAAACTGAGAACTATCTACATACAGTATAAAGTTGATTATCAAAAGCTATTTACGCATTATCATATGTATAGACAAGTTACCTCGTTCAAGTTCTAAAGGTTCACCATTTTCATCTCTCAGTAGAAATTCAACTGGTACCGACGTTAACAATGCGTAAACCTGCATTTCCGGATGATACTCGATCCCATAAACGGATCGATTTAATTGAATTTTTTTCACAGTCCATTCCATATCATATTGAAAATCAGTCGGTAGCTCTGACAATCGACAAACGTCCTAAGCAAAGATTAATAAAACTGTATTGATTGAATAAAATAGGCGTTAAAAATTTTAATGGTTAATTACCTGGGTATTAGTATACAAAAAGCCGTGCCTACAATGTACATTATGAAATTGTGTAAAACTTCGTATTTCACCCTCCGCGTTCATCGGATGTAACCTCAGATAATTGTTATGCGCACAAATCAACCAAACAGGTTTCGCACCTGTTACAAAAACACCAGAGTAACCCGAAATATTTGTGAAGGGTATCAGTCGTCGATTTATTTGTTTAAGGATAGGTCTCCGCTTTTCTATATCGTGACTTGTTTGATCAACTTCGTCAATATTCGATTCTTGAAGAGTTGACCTTCTAGATACGGGTTTATCGTGGATATCACTGTATATAGTTTCACGCAATATGTACTCCTGAGGAACACGCGAAAATCGTATAGCTAGACGATTGGTAAACTCGCCTTGGGATTGTGACTTTAAGAAAGGATCTGATATGTCGGTGCCAGGTATATATCGAAAGGCTTTGTAAATCATGATGTCACCAACACTAGAACGTGCCTAAAACATTAAATACATGTTCAACATTTTTAAACGTTCGAGATGTTATCAGAGAATAAGAAATAAACAATAATAAGTTACAATTAAATATGGATCCTTTGTTCGTCGACCAATGTTTATTAGCAAAATTTCTTGAATTTCCACAGTCTGTCCAGAAGCCCTCATATTTTGTCTTGTTATAACATCGTTGAGAACAGCTGGTGATAAATCAAAATGCGGGAAATGAAAGACCTCCTCAAATTCAGGAAGTTTATGAATCTATCGTATAATATAAATTATAAATATTTG